CTGTCTTCTGAAGCACCTGGTTCCTGGCCATTGTGAGAGCAAACATGGTAACAGTGAGTTCAGGCAAATCCAGATAGAGATGATCTCTGTCCCATATAATAAAAAAGACACACTTTTTCCCCCCCCCCCCCCCCCCCCCCCCCCAAGTTAAAGCAGTTTGAGTCAAAGCAATGGTAATAAATGACATTGTCTCACCTCCCCTATATTAAGGGAAATGATTGTTTAAATAGCGAAAGAAAATTTGTGTAATACAGAGGTTGACAAAAGATGTTACTCTGACAAGACAGCAGGACCTAAATAGTACTTTTTCCTCTGCTTTTTAAAGAAAAGTAAAACTTTTGTCCTGTTCCTTCAGAGAGTTAAGCACAGATGAAAAATTCAAGCATTATGTATGATTTCAGAATCTGGGTATTTTTCAGTAAATCAGCTAAAAATATTGAGAAATAATTTGGACAGACTATAACGGTTGTTTTGGATAGAACAGCTTTTTGGGGCTGTCACCTAAAGAGGGTTACAAAATAAAAAGCTAGAAACAAATAATCCAATGGCTCTCAGTTTTATTAAATAAGCAAATTTTTTTTATATATATATATAAAGTATAACGTTTCATATTATTAAATAATTGTGCAAACCTTTTTACACAGAGCAGGGGGGGAAACAGGTAATAGCCTATACTTCTTTTAGTTTCTTCTCTCAATTCTTTTAATACATTTACAAACTTTAAATACCACAGACCAAAATCATAGATACTGTGTAAAGGCTCTTCAAAGGCTAACCAAACACTGGCATGAGAACAATTTAAGTGATGGTGCACTTGTATTTTTCTAGTTGAAATATTGCGAGAAATACAGTTAATAAGGGCTCTGTCACACAGACAAGCTAGGGGTACATAAGAGGAGTATTAAAGCTGAACACTCACCATAGAAATAATAGTGACAGATCTAATGATCTGACTACTATGAGTCCTGTAGTACTAATGCTTCAGGTAAACTTTTGGCAAGTCAAGATAAAGTAATATTTCAACTCTGGGGAGCAAAGCCTCACAGAAATGATGCATGTTCCTTCTCTTTAGCATGGAGTTTTAAAAATTACTATAGCCAAAATATGTCCCTTGAAATGTTCCTGTTTGTGGTTTCATATATGTCACAGGTCACCGAGTATTTTTTAACTTAATTATTTGGACAGATTCTTTGCGTGTTCTGACTTTATCATTAAGAATTTCAAAATGCCAAAATTCATTATTTGAGGCAAACTGGCATTACAAGTATGTAGATGTTCTGTTTGGTTTTTTTAATGAGGATCCTTCTGCTTGTTCTAAGCAACCATGCCCACACCTTCTATTTTTAAGTGCACAGTTAAAGCATTTTTACAAAAGCTAAACAGACTCATGCTAGTGAATGAATTGCATGCAGCAGCAACTAGAGCAGTGCACGCTTATTACTACAGAGATTTACGAATACCACATACCGGTTTAACATCCATTTTCACTCATTTTGTCATTAAGACTTACATTATATTTGGGTCAACCAAAAAAACCCAAAGAGATTTATAAAATTTTACAACAATTAAACAGTAATGTTTAATTCTACAAATGAATAAAGCCAACTACTGCAGCTCAATACAACAACAATGGGACTAACAGTAGTGAAATCATCTATATGTACAATTTAATATATTACTGACATGTAATTCTTTGTCATTAAGACTTACATTATATTTGGGTCAACCAAAAAAACCCAAAGAGATTTATAAAATTTTACAACAATTAAACAGTAATGTTTAATTCTACAAATGAATAAAGCCAACTACTGCAGCTCAATACAACAACAATGGGACTAACAGTAGTGAAATCATCTATATGTACAATTTAATATATTACTGACATGTAATTCTTACAAAAAACATTATAAAACTTAGACTGACATCTCATAAAGCAGTTGATTTTTGATTCATGAATTTAAGGTTATACACTTCTAAGTGACAAATTATGTGAAAGTAATATAGCTAAAGATGAAAGATCAGTAAATCGGAACTCCCAGAGAACGTTCTGGCCCCAGTAAAGCACTACAGTCTACTGCTTAACTCTTGCTGATTGCAGTAGGCCAGGATTTTACCTTCCCACTTTTTTTTTTCTCATCTAGAATTGAAATTTCATGGATTTTATTAAAATATAGTTTCTAGAACTGTTCTCTTACAGTTTTAAAAACATTTACATACCATGCTCTCAAAAAGAGCATTTATACAAAGTCTTATATTTACAATATAGACAGTTATGATCAGGTGTTAATAAGATCAACTCTTCCATGTAAGAAGAAATCTAAGCTTATGCGCTGAAGATTAATAAATGTGTCAGTGTTTTGAATTGGCTTGTAAACATATCTGAAAACAGATGTGGATGACTGAATTATCACTTGAAGTAGTTGATTAGGAAAGACTACATCACATAGAAAAGTTTCATTACCTCTAAGGAGGACTAAACAAGCACAAAATTTGCAAATTATTTCCACAAGGCTACACTGCTCCTTCTGTAACTCTATGCACGATAGATGCTGATAGCTTCTTAGAAAAAGACAATTTGCCTTCAAAGTGCCTTAGGGAAATAGTATGCTGGGTTTGTATTGGCATAGCATTCCCACTGTTTAAAAAGGAATTATTCAGTAAGACGAAAGTTAGTGAAAATTAAAATGACTAGACAAATCCTACAAAAATTAGCATCTCCATAAACCACCCAACACTTCATACAGAAATTTCTGCTCAGTTTTCCATGTTAGAAAACATCAAAAACACCTACTAAACCTCTCTTAAAATAGCTTATCTTTATAATTGGAGAAAAAGGGAACAAATGTTTTTCTACATACAAATATTTAATTCCATGCAAGATGGAAAACGTGAGTGCACAATAAACTTCATTTTATACCTAAATAATTTATAAATTAATCCGTTAAGAATAAAGCAGGGCCTATAGCAATTATAGTGTTACATTTTAAACACATGCAGATGAGTTGGCAACATTTTTACATAAAGTTTAGTGCAAGAATGTATCTGCTTAATAAATAGACTAAAGATAACTATGTAATGCTTTGAGGTGTACACACAGTATCTGTGCACATAATAAACTGGTTCTGAAAAGTTGTCCTTGTTTGTCTATAAACTACAAGTGCCCATTTGAAATAAAAAAGATCCATAATTACTCATGGGCTACTTCCCTGTGACACATGGTGTCACAAACATTGTGGTGAAAATGTAATACTGAAGTTAATCTAGAGATTTTTTTTATTTTTTTTTATACACAGTTTTTATACAATCAAGAAAAAGAGATACAATTTGTATCAACAAACAAAAGGTCATTTCTGGTTATTTGAGGCATTGCTCTCAGCTGCTTATACCATGCAAGAGAAGAGAATAAGAATTAATTGCAAATTAAAAATATAAAATGCTGGTTAGTAAGAAATGTTTTTGAAAACTGGTCAAGAGTTAAATCTGTTTTCCCCAACTATTACAAATGTCTGAAGATTTATTTTTTCCCCATTAACAGAGACGATAAAAAACTAATTAAAACTTAAGTTATTTTTAAACACCAAGTGTAAATACAGAATCACCTTCAAGTTAACTCATTTTAAATACATAATGACATGGTCATTTTGTATGTTACCTGTACCAACACAAGAATATTCATCCTGTGTGAAATGATATGGTTATCAAATATCAGTAAATTAACTGTAGTTGCACCTGTAATTGTGGTTTGTTGTTGGTTTGTTTTGTTTGTTTGTTTGTTTTTAATATGACAGGAACATATTTTGCGCATGATAAAGAGCCCACAAGATATTTTGAATCAAACCAACCATTACAGTAACACAAGTGGAGGAAATTATATAACTTTGTTCCTCAGACAAACAGATAACTAGAAAGCAGCATGCAAGCCATTATCAAAACACCAGAAACAACCCTGACTGCAGCCTCACGTTCCGTGTGTTTCACAGTAAGAAACATTTAGGCAGTGTCACACCTTCTCATGAAGAAACAAAAGGCCATAAACCAGGCCTTCTCAACTTTCATGAAAAAAACTACAGTAGAAGTCAACAAGTCCTAGCTCGAGACGTATCGAGTTAGTAATGGTTCGAAATGTTGAAATATACAATGGATTCAAAAAAGGGCGTCCAGTCAGTGCAGCTTAAAAAACAATAAACGCCTCTTTTGGAGACATTTAGCTACAAAGGTTCCCACCCTGAGCAAGATACCAGTTGCGCAAACAATGCCACACAAAATTATCTCACCTGTTGAAACAGGAACTCTAAAAGCCTTCATGAGGCAAATGCACACCTTTGCGTGGATCTGAAGAGCAAAAACCAGGCCAGCTTTGCCACAAACCCAACTGTAGCATCTCTTTTCAAGAAGCAGCCTTCCCGCTCCACCTCCTTCTCAAGTTGATCTTGTACAGCCATCGTGAATGTTAGGCTCACTCAAATACCATCCTTACCCCCAGAGGAAGGGCTGTAGTTACTGATGAACTTCAATGTTACCATCCAGGTTCTGCTGCTTCAGGGCGAGTAATCCAATTTACATAAAACTGGCAGTTTATTTTCAGCTTGTCTAGTCATCTAGGCCAGCAGCTGTTTACTGCAGAGCTGAGAGGCAATTCTGAAGAGAGAAGCTACAGTTAAACTTCTTTTAGTTTATTGAATGGCGCTAACACCTTCACACTCCTTAATGTTTTGGTCCTAGTTTAATAAAGTATTTGGCTTCTGTTGGATTGAGCCAATGTATTGGACAATGTAATAGGTACTCAAACTCTTGGGGAACAGTTTTGAAATTTAAGTACCAACAACAATATTGACATTCAAAAGCTGAAATCAGTTTTTCCTTTTACAAATTGAGTATTTTAATTTTGTCAAGTCTACCTTTTCTTCAATATTTAATATGCCAGTAGGCAGTGTCAAATGACAAAGCTGAAACCCTAAAAGTCATCTGGGTGTGTATAGAGCATACTTTTAAAGGCCGATTAGGTATTTATAAGCAAATTGAAAGTGTACACTAATACATGCAATATAATTGCTAACAATAATTTTGTAGTAACAGCTTTTGAGACACTGAACGTGACATTGTAGTTCTTAATGAGCTATCCATGCAGTAAGGTATGCATTTCCTATAAAATACTATTAAAAAATCCCTATATTTAAAACCTTAAAATTTACAATACAATCAACTCTTAAATAGTGCCTCAGCGCATATATATATATATATGATTGCTACTGTGTACAGAATTTTATACTATCTCAGTAGAAAATATTTACAATAGATTGGCCCCTTCTTCATTTAAGTCTTCCTCCAGGTCCTATACGCTCCAAAAGAGGCTGTAATGCTTTAACGCCCTGTTCTTAATTTGGCAACAATCATAGCTGCCAGCTGTTGTGCATCTGTCATGTGGGGATTCTTTTCCATCACAGAAAGGACAATGCTTGGAGGGAAAATATTGCAGAGGTTCTTGTACGTTTGATACTGATGCTCTGGGATGATATGTGGTTCCCGTGGCTCACCACATATCCCAATCCAGGGATTCCTCCAGAGTTGCTCCATCTTCTCAGGCATGCTTCTTACCATTACAGGTTCATAACATGGCTGCATGAGGTTGTTACTCAATGGATACGAGTGATAAGCGTAAGAGTCTGATGCACATGGTAATGGATCCCAACTAGCATGCTGCTCTCGACAGAGGGGTGGTCGTCTCTGCCTTGTAGGGTTACTTTCATAAAGCCGTGAGTCAGAAATACTGTCCATTCTTGTCATGACCAAGGCACGGCTTGGTTGTGCAGTTGATGGATGAACATTTTGAGGCACAGGGTATTCTCCTGGACAACTGGACCGTGCTCCAACAACTGGATGCTGGGCATGTAGGCCTAAGTGGGAAACTGACTGTTTACGAAGGGATTGCTTAGGCTCTTCAGTTCCATAACTCTGAACTCTATTTAAGGCTTCATGGTAACCATGGGAAAAAGGCTGAAGACGATTTTGCGATGGCAGTCTGTGGATCTTCACATTGTCTTCTGGACTGGCATCTGCTACACCCAGATACAAGTCATTGTAAGAGGAATAAGAATCATTACTTGTATGGCTTAAGCAATTGTCAGGACAGGGGCTTGAGTTTCTAGAATACATCCCCTGGTCCATATCAGCCCCGTAATAATCTGTGTTACGGATACTACTTATGCTCAAGTTGGAGAAATCACTGAGTAAGGAATAATAGCCACGGTCCCCCAATGATTCATATTTGGGATACTGGTCAGTATAGCTAACTGAGGTGCCATGGCTATTGGTGACTAGTATAGGAGGATATTGCACACTGGACATATGTTCCAGTGAGGATTTCTGATGCATGAACTGTGAGGAACCTGGCACCGGACTGCTTGCAGAACGAGTATTTAATGCACCAGCTGCATGGCTTTTTGGTGGAGGGAGCGTTGGTACACTTAATGCAGAAACCAGAGACGGGACAGAGCTGGCCTCAGACTTCCGGGCTACTGATAACTTTTCCTCAGGCTCCACAGCTACTGATCTAATGCTTGGATCTGACTGACGTTTTGGGGCAATGCGTTTCACTTCAGAACTGATTTCTCCTTTGGAGCTGGATGGCCCTGTGCCACATTTGGCCAAGGCTCCCTCACTCATAGTTTTCACAGCAGATAATTTGGCACTTATTCGAAGCTCATCCGCTACTGACCTTTGAGGCTGGTTTGCCCGTTCTGGGTGGTAATATTTACATTTGTGCCCATAGGTGCACTTTTTACCTGGAAGAAAAGTGTTTTCAGGTTAAATAAACCAAAAACTAACCAATATCACCACTTGCTATCTTTTTTCTTTATGTTTTCACCACTTCTCAATAGTAGTATTTCTATACTAAACCCCCTAAGGAATAATTATCTATATTGTACATACAGGCAGTCACAGACTCTGCTACCTGTATCCACATATGTCACTGCATCAAGGGCAAGACACATCACTTTTCTTCCTACTGGCTCATGATTTCAACACTGACAACATAACGCTATATAAAACAAAACAGCTCTAACACAGTTTGTATAGTTATGAATCTCCTTCCTTCAATACAAACCAGAAGAAAACAGCAAAAAGCTGTGTTATCCACAAGGTATATCTGGTAATCCTTAATTTTCAGTGACATTGTTTTTATTAATATGTGTATGAAAGGTATAAAAAAGGATATAGTGCTTGGATGGCAACATGAAAAATGGCTTGTTTTTTTTTTTTCCCCAGTAATGACAAGATGTTAATTAATTGCTTGCTTCACCTACCTTTGAATACAACAAATCAGTCTGACTTAGGCACTTACCATAAGGACACGGTTGTTTCTTATGTTCAGGAATAACTGGCCTTTTTCTTAAGAAATTTTCAAGGCTTGGGCCATGACGTCCTAAAGGATCATCAGGAGGCATAAATCTAAGGGGAAAGAAATGAAATGTGAATTTCAGTTTTTACTGAGGATTCTGAATTAGCGAATTCCCTTACTTTTGAAGAAAAAAACATACTTGTCATTCACAAAAGAATACATTAGCAGCCGCTCCTCTATGAACTTCTTCCATTCTGGTTTTTCATTTTGAAGATCCCGATAGTTGTCATTTGATACAATAATGCCATCTGAGTCGAAAGCAAGTTTTACTATGAATCGATCATCATAGCAAACTACTCTTCTTCCCTGAACTCTTCGAGATGGGGTGAAAACAAGAATTTTTTCTTTCTCCAATTTACGTAAGATTTCTTGATCTGTAAAATAATTTTAGTTGAACAGCTTTTTAAAAAGTTTTAAAAGAAAGAAATGCAGCCTTTGAAATATGAAATTTGTTGCCCTCTTTTCTGACAAAGTATTTTGTAATTATGTTCATATACGGGCCCCATTATCATTAAAAAACACCTAGATGCAGAGTGCCATTTTATTTCTGAGGTTTCAAAGCACTGGGTAAACATTCAATATTTAAGTGTCATAACCATTCTACTCCTCTGTAAACAACCATGTACCTTTACTCAATCTTCCTGAACACATCAAGAACTCAGTTGTTACTGTATTACAATAGCCTTCTTGTTAGCCTAGAGTAAAACATAAGTACTTTCTATGGATCAAAACACATGCTGCCTCTTCAGTGTTCAAGATAATCCTACTAAATGAGTCCCTGGCCTGACACTACTTATTTTATACTCACCCAGCAACTAAGAATCAGTTTCTATATGCTTAACAATGTTTGCTAAGGGGAAAATTATGACTACTGCTTCTCAGAAGTGCTGAAATGATCCAGTAACATTGCAAAAAACCAGCATTGTTTACAGGTGCAGATACTCAAATGCTTGTTTCCTCACCAGTGAAATTGTTGTGTTTTTAAACAGTTGAGTGCAACATTGTCGTGCAGCATCACATCCACAACCCAGTATGTAGTACCCATCAGAAAGATGACATGGTTGTGTCTTAATGCAATACTTTTTTTAACTAAGGGGTCAAAGAAAATCTTGACCTGTTACCTGTAATTGGTGCATCAGGTCGAGACTGTTCTTTTCTCCATGCAGGTACAAACACAGTGATATCTTTATGTCCTTTTTCCAGAAACCAATCAACAGCTAGTTGAATTCCCCGACAGGAAAATCCTTCTTTATTCCCATGGCTGAAGAACATGCAAAAGTTTTAGAAACAGCAAGGACAGAAGTTACATTTGGTTTTGGTTTTTGTTGTTGTGGTGGGTTTTGGGGTGTTTGTTTGGTTTTTTTCCTTCTAAAACTGCCATGGTCTAAGGGAAACGAAGTCTGTAAAGATACGTAAACCTTTTTATTAGACCAGCTTACATAATTGGAAAAAGACAATTGTCCAGAGCTATTCAGCCATCAGATTACAGCAACACTGCTACTTAAAACTCTAGAAAAGGTGAAATTTCAGTATCCCAAAAGCAAAAACAAGTAAACATGAAGTTTTTCCGCTTTTTCATTTTATTAGCTGAGCTAATGAAAAATATCACTTTCCCCAACAAATTGAGCTCACCTTAACTAGTACCATAAAAAGTTATCAATAACAAAAACCGAATGAACTAACAATGCTGGCTGTCATGGGTCATAGGTGCTTTTAAACATCTAGGTTAAAAAATACGTTTCTCTAATACTAAATATTCTGTATTTTTATTAGGACTTTTTAAGGGAAGGAAATAACTCTCTCAAAGTTGTTTAAGTCCCGCCCCCGTCAAAAATTTGTTTTCTGAAACACACAGGAGTCTCTAAAACAGCACACAATTCAGATAAATGGGTTTAATTTTTAAAATGGCCAAAGTTTCTGCAAAGGAAAAAAGAAATTCTTTAGAGGTCTGATACAAACTAAGTAGAATCTTAATTATGAATCTTATTCAGTCTACCTCATGGGTGCACCTATCTTGATTTACTAAACATAGAGTGAACTAAAGAATCAAGTTTTAAATCCTCTCAGGAAATAGTTTAGGAATGCCTGAATAATACATAAGCATATATATAAGAGAAGATGACGACATTTAATTATAATATCCTTAGTAGTTAGTCTACACAGGTAAGAGAGACACACAGATCTTTGCATTATGGTTGGATTTCATATTTAGATTGAAGCCACCATTTTCTTTGTCTGAAAAACAGAGTGCCTATATTACTGCTACACCATATAATTGAATAATAAAAACTAAGGGTTCTGGTTCTTTTCAATTAATATTGTAACTACCTGAGGAAAAAAAAAAATTTGTCTGCCCTTTTTACTAAAAAAATAACCCAAAACAAAAAAACCAAACAAAACCAACCCTCTTTGTTACATTTTAGTTTGGCTAGCAAAGTCTAGCTTTCTAGAGCTACTTCCAAAATTGCATTTGAAAACGGTAGACTAGTAAGCTAATGCTATGCTCCTTGATGCACGCTCTTCAAAATTTATTCTTCCCCCCTCCCCCCCCTTCTCAACACAGCTGCAGTTTTTCATCAATTGTGATAGGAGTGATGCTGCCCAGTTAGTTTGGCACCTACCAGTCATTATTTCTGGAGACTTCTATATTAATTTGTGAAGAAAATTAGTTGATTTCTTCAAATCATTCCATCCATTGCAAAAGGTGCTAACTGAATCACATCAGTGATGCCATCTTGAGCAGTGAGATCCTCACCACAAAAAAGTGGTTGAGTGGCAAGGCCAGGGAAGGTTACAGAATGCTGTAAGGGCAGGGGAGGCCATGCACACCAATGACGCTCCCTATTAGAAAAAAAATACAAGGGGCCTAGGTAGCAGCACTGGGCAGAAAACACAGGAGAGGACTCTGCTATAGCAGCCCTGAAGTGCGTGGGCAGTCCACGCAGTTGGCTGTAATTAAGGCGGCTTTGTGGCACTATGTAATGCTAGGAGCTACTCCCACTACTTAAAGCAGCTGGCATTTTACTGTACACAAAGTGGCATCCAGCTGCTGCACCATCCTGTTCCAAGCTGTTAGTTCTGTGTAGCGTCCCCCAAAACTGTTTACTTTAAGAAAATTTCCATACTGAAAATGGAAATGGTTCCATTTTCCATATATAGCCACCTTTCAGTTACAACATATACATTTTACCGTAAAGGCAAGGCCTCCATTAGCATCAATAATTGCAGTATTTTTAAGCATGAGAAGTGTATAACCCTTGCACTTTTCAGATATTCTCAGTCTGTAGAGCAGATGCTGCATAATTGAGAGATTTGCATCTTATTAAAATTGTCTTTAGCATTATTCTATGGATTATCACTCAAAATTTTACTTCAATGTTGTTGTTATTATTATAGAACAACATCACAGATTACCGGACCATAGTAAGATGCATGCTCTTCCTGGGCTCAAAATGTTATATAAAGTAATACTGAAACAGACCAAAGGCAGACAGATCTAATACCATCTGTATAACCAAGGCCTATGGATCACCAGCATAGTCCAAATCCTTGCAACTTAAATAATGAATACAGAAGCCACAATGTTGCTAAAGCATTTTTCTTTAGAATTTTTGTACATTTCAGGTTTTACAGAATTTAATATCCCTTTAAATTTTCAGATGCATATGCATTTTGTTGAGAGTTGGACTCGATGATCCTTATGGGTCGCTTCCAACTTGAGATATTCTATGATTCTATAAATAGAGCATCAGTTCTAAGCTATGCAGTAGTTAAGACTACACATGCACTTTTCTCCAGTTGCTGCCACATTACACTCAGCAGTAATTCAAACAGTACAGAGCCTGCAAATTCAACAGGCACAGAAAAAAAGGAAAGAAAAAAGTTAAATCTAATATTGGTGATGTTACTTTACAGAAACATCTTTCTGATTGATGTAACCACAACGTGGCACTGGAAAATCCTGTATATAAAATATTGTTATAGGATTTGGGGGGGTTATGTATTTCAAAACTCAGAGTACTAAATACACCTATAAAAATCTGAATTTTTAATACATTGAAAAAAAAATTTCAGATCACAAATTCTTTTAGAGCAGAAAGCTGATACTAAAGGAAATCTATTGTGCAAACACTACCTGAAGAAATCTTGGCATCACTGTTCACTAAACAGACTGTTTAAAGAACTCCCTCATAGAAAATCATACTTTCTCAATGATAAACAAATCATTGGATAGCTGAACTGTGTACTCTAAAGACATGCTCAAAAGTGGCATGGGACAGATATCTCTTGAGTTAGTGTTGACCCAAGCAGCCAAGTGCACATGTGTACACGTCTGAAATTACAAGCACCACAGCTGTGTGAGTCAGCACGTTTAGCTCATACATATCCCTGTACTGACACAGCTAAATTGCTTTGAATTCTGAGCAGGCTTGATCAGCAGGAGCTCAAATACCCTGAAGTGCACTGCATATCATCAGCATACACTGCATGTCATTTTAGAAAGAACCAAGTTTTCCTCCCCTATTTGGTTGCCTCTGGACCTTAAAGAAAAATAATTTTCAACATTATTCAAGGACTTCAAGAAATTAAACCCATCCACACAAAAGCACACTACAGCTAGATTGCTAGAACAAAAGATTTGAGGGGAGAACTTGGTTTGAAAAGGGGGGAGGGGAATTGGAATACAGACTACATATAAAGGAGTAACAGCATAATTAAAAGCCTGGACTAAAGAGTCCATTAAAAAGATGTATTATCAGTGTAAATATACTACATGACTTAAAGTGACTTTGCCATCAATATTGATTTTTCTCATAAAGTTTTAGTGATTTATTCTTTTCAAATGTTGTGACAGGGAGACCCACCTCATAGCCACATTGCTTCCATCAATGACAATTGGCCTCAAGTTATCACTGTTATCCACAACTTCATCTTCAAGTGACAATTCAGGGCTTGCTATTTCCTTTGGGCAAGGGCCTCTTGGCACCAGAGTACTAGTGGTACTGCTGGCACTGCTTTGTCCCTCTGATTCACTTTTGTTGCCAAGTCTCACAAGCTCTGCCAGAACATCATTGATGAGTGCATCTGCTCCCAATTTATTCAGTACAGCCTGGATCTGATCTCCTGCATACCCAAGCTTTAAAGCAAAATCCATTTTAGCTTGGTATTCCTTGTCCAAATTTGTTTTGCATTCGTCTAGCTTCAAGTCTTGTGTGATACTGCTCTGTGAAAAACTTGGGCGATCCAAACAAGGGGACCGACAGAGTGGCCGATGTGGTTTAGTGGAAACCTCCTTTTCTCTCCACTGAGTATTGCTACAGCTGCTTCTGAAGTATGGTTGTTCAGGTTCACTTTCTGAGCTCGTCCATTCCTCAGATTCAGCACTGCATTCCCCAGCATCTTGTTCCACATTTCTGTCTTCTCTGGAGTGCCTCTTCTCCATTTTCAGCTTCCCTACCATAGACCAGGCCGTCATCACGTTCAGCTTCCAGCCAGAGAGCTCAGTTCTCTTTCATTTCCAAAGCCACCTGGAATTCATACTCAATCGCATCATGATGGCCAATTAAAAGTTTACACGAGGCTGGAGTAAATTTGCCTTGCTTACTGTGTTCTGGCATAAACACCACCACCATGAAGTTCCTTCAAAAAAAAAAAAAAAAAAAAAAAAAGCC